TTGTTTTGTTTAATTTTTATTTTTTTTAAGAAAATAAAAAAATGCAAAAAATATTGAAAGGTAGAAAAATACAAAATGTCAAAAAAATATGAAGGAGTGAAAAAGAGTTAGATAAAGAAACTAAAGTTATAATTTAGGAATTTTATAAATGTATTTATTTATTTATTTACTTATTTAATATTATTGTATGTAGTAAAATTATTTTTAAATTTATTAAAAACTAAGATAAATTTAATTGATATTTATTTTTAAAATAGAAAAATAATTGCAAAATCACTAGATATTAAAAGAAATAAAAGGTTAGAAATAGTAAATGATTTAATTGAAATATACTACTATTAGTGTCAAAGAAATATCCATTATCAACCAATCACAAATCATTGTGTACTTAAAAATCGTTTACTTCTATAGTGTTATTTAATTGGTTGATAATGTACATATTTATCTTGATAATGTGTTAAAATTAAAAATTTTAATATAAAATGTTATAAAAAGAAAATTAATAAATATATTTAAGATTTAAATAAATTTTTTAAAATAAAAAATGCAATAAAAAGTAATATATTTATTATTTGATGAATGAAATACAAAACTTGATAATATTTAATAAAATATTTACAAACTCAGTTTTGTTTTTGTGAAAACAAATTCAGTTCTCGTATCTCAGTTAAGATTCACCACTCATTGGTACAATATCCATTCTTCCTAGCTTCTTGTTGGGACGTTCAAGGAACACTACAAACCCAAGTTGCCTTTGGGCCGACTTATATATATATATACTAACCAAGTTACTACCCTTCTTTTTATGGTCGAAACCAAGTTACTACTATCTGTTGACAACAAAAATATTGTTACTGTCTAGCTAGCAAGTTTTCAAGGTTAACACGGGTGAAAATTAAATAAAAACAAAATAAAAAATAGTAGACATTTTAAAATTTTAATATTAATAATGAAGGTTTTATTAATATAAATAAATTATAATAATGGGACTTTTAAAATAAATTATTAAAAATTAAAACATATTTTTTTATTGATATAAAGAGTTAGAGTATAAAAATTTTAAAAATGTATTTAGATAAAATTAACTAAAATTATAATTATTTTAAATTTTAATTTGTTTTAAAAATATCTTTAATTTGATATAGATTCTTAATATTTAAAATTTTAATCAAATTAAAATATAAAAAAAAAATCAATAAGTGGGCCAAATGTTTACATACTACAATAACGGTTGTATTCAAAAGGAATCAATAGATAGGCCATAGCCAAATGCAACTTGTGCAGTTAATACCAGGTTAATTATTAGTTGGTGCACATTATTACTAGTCCATATGATCCAAACCTTCGTGAAGAATAATTAATTAACGAAGTAATTAGCATCCTTTTACCATTGCATGTAGATTTTTTTATTCGTTATTTGCTGCAACCTGTGTCATATCAGTATATACTGTTGAAGAAAGCCAGTGATATAAGTGATAACTTTCAAGTAATTGGTAGTTTTCATGAAAGTTCACCTGCTAAAAAAATGTTTTACATGCTTGAAACAGAACAGATGCCTGGATGCACATATTTCACATGACAAATTCATGGTTCAATAATTTGAACTGCGGCATTATAGTTTGATGCTTGTGCTAATTTTCCTGAGAATTATGCATAAATTGCTCAGTGAATATGTCTACTATATGGGGTTTGATAAATTACACATTCCAATCATCCACTAATTATTGAACTTTGTTGTATCAGTACTGAGTGGAGTTAGTTGTATGGCTTTTTATTTTTTAAGGCGCAAGTAGTCCCTTTAATTTCTATGATCGATTTTGTTGCTTCCCGTGAAACATGAGGGCTAAAATAATCCTGCATAAGAATGTTATCAGTTATTTAGCGTTTTTCATAGCTTATTTCGTTATAATGGATCCTAGGTCGAAGGTTATGATTAAAGCATTTTATCTCACCTTCATTAAAATGTTATTAATTAGTAATTTTTTGTTTAAAACAAAGTTCACTTCTAATTGAAGAGCACTTTGTAATTATATTTGCGACGTGGCTAAAACGTACACGACACAGGGCCTAACGAGAAAGTAGAGCTTTTTCGTGGAACATAAATCAAACTGAGAATGTTAAATGTGTGTTTATCTTCTAAAAGAGGATTGTTTGATATTATTCGAGATATAAAATAATTCATGTAATTTAATTTTTACCTATAACATAATGTTTATAGGAGAGATGGTTTCTTAGCATGATTATACTAGTTTGAAGGGATTAGGAGTTCAAGATTAATCAAACTAAGGTGCTTGTGCATGTATTATTCAGATCCAAATTAAAGGATTGTGTGTAAAGAGACGTCTTAGTGATATGAAATCATTAGCTATTTGACAGGTATGTTTTACATCCTGTCTGCTGAAGTCCCATCTTGATGACCTTATATCATAATTAAGAATGGGATAATTTATTATAGAAGAAGAGACAGATGCGATTATAAAATAGTGTCTTCAGGACTTCTAACCTAACTCCTACACCACTTGGAATAAACTATAAGTAGTTCAAATCTACGATGATCATATGATAGAACATTTCTTTAACACAAGACGGAATAAATTAATTTCCAGTTGCCACAGGGATATGATAAAATATTGATTTATCAAATTAATCAAAGAGAGATTGAATGACAAGTCAGGTTACATCAGTTTTGCATCATCCGTTATTTGCTGACATGCCCTTGGTTATGTGAAGTCCTTGAGGTCTATTGATAGAAACCAAATTTCAAGTTGGCATAGACTTATTTCCTTGATTTCCATGTATATCAAGAGATCTTTACCCCTTCTGTTTGAAATCAATGGAGTGAGTTAGCTTTGAAATTTACTTCCAAAAAAAACTTGGCGGTTGTATAATTTCCTTGCTAGGCCAGTTTACCTTTCCAATTACATAAAAATTTTGTTTTTTCATGTTTGAAGAGATAAAAAAAAGAAAAAGAAAAAGAAGAAGGTAATTTACTAGGGGAAAAAATTAGATAGACAAACCGACCATTTTGAAGGATTAACATCAAAACAGGTAATACCCCTGGAGAGAAAGATTCAGAATTAGAACTTAGAAGATTAAAATTAAATATTATATTTAAAACACTTGGAAATGATTCTGTACATTGTGAAGATGTACATATAAAAAATGAAAGTGAGATGCATCCTGTGCGAACCAATTCAAGTTTTAATTAATTACGGACAAAAAGGAAAGCTATTATAGTATTTTAAGTGTTTAAGGAACCGTGTCAGATATAAATGTACAGTTAAAGTAGTATATCGTGAACAAACAAATTATAAGCAATGGTTTTTCACATAAAAAATGATAGCTTAACAACCAGAATACCTATCTCTATAGTAATAAGAATAAAGGTACTCTAAAATATATGACTCGTCGGTCTTGGATCATTTATTAATGTCCATTTAAGCGTGAGTACCCGTGGAGAGGAGAGTGATACAACTTCTATTACTATTATTTTTTTAATTTCAATTTTACTTTTACTTTACTTTATGCCTTTTTTTTTATCTTTTTTTTATTATATCACCTGTCACACGTTACTTTCTTTAATTTTCTCCTCTTATCATATAAAGACACATACAAAACATTGACTTTTACTATTGCTGAAGTGATCTAGCATATAAACCTAGTTGAAAGATTGATCAAAAGCTACATCATTGCAAGCCTAGTTTAACAGGTTGATAACAACTGTAATGTTCAATTATGCACATTCTTTTGCCCCTTGACGACATGCAATCATACCATTGTCGGAGCACCAAAATGTGAGAGTGAATGCGATCAGATCTGGTCGTACATGAAATTCAAGCCTTGTTTTCGTCGAGGAATTGATCGCAATGAATATAATTAGGAGTGTTCCTCTTTAGTTGACAAGGTTTTCATTAGAAGATGGAGTTGATAAGCTAAGTAAGGAATGGATTAGCGCGGCAAACGTGGGTCTCGCCCCCTCTTCATCAATTTTAATTCCAAAGAAAGTTATATATGTAAATTTCAATGTTATATATATAATTTATTTACTTTATTCTTTCTCTCGAACCAGCCAGATCCTGATTATAGGGGGGAGTGGGTGGTATCCTCCAGAACAAATTAAATTACTCGATTGATTTTGCTGATCCGCATTAGCTTTAGTGCTCCGAGAGATGATAAAATTATATATTAATCGGTCCCACAATTACCGAACTAGTTCATAAACAAGCAAGTTTTAAAGGTGAGTCAAAGGGATTTATATTAACTGTGGAACTTAAAACAAAGATTTTTTTTTTCTTGTTCCTTTTTCAATTCTTAATGTTTGTGAAAATAGTTGGGAATGGGAATTGAAAGCTTGTAGTGCGTTACAACCTACACCAACGAAAAATAAAAGAAAGGGGTAATGCAGCGCAAGTATGGAGCGTCTAGCAGAAGTCCGTTTCCTGACGTTAGGTATGAAAGCAGAGAAAATATTTAGATTCCATTATTTGTGGTCCAAGAAAATATTTTACACGTTACGGTTTACTTACTTTTTAAGCTATGGTTCGTATTAACAAACACTTCAGTAATTTTCACACCTCGAGAACTTGAAAAAATGTTAGTTATCAGTTTCTAGAAACTGCAGGTTGCACTTTGAAGTCTCACACGCCCAACAGGAAAGGACAAGTAACCATTCCCTGTGTACCTCAAAAACGCATATAATATTTGTCTCTTTGAGTCAAAGGAGGAACGGAGGTATATATACTGGATAGTGGGTACTATTCTATCTCAGGAAACAACGAAGTTAATACAAAAGTTATAGATGGAGTGTATTCATGGAAAATGTTTTATTGATATTCAACCTGTAACTTTTGTATAAATTTGGGCTTTGAGCTAGTTATTGAATCTCAATACTTTTTCTTAGTGTTTAGATTTACGTTGAATGACTTGTAAATATAAATTTAAAGCAAAAATTACAACTAATAACTTTAAAATAAATACAAGTATATAATATTTAAATGTAAATTCAAATATATTATTAGACTGGGAAGATTATATATATACATGAGAAAGTCTAAAACTAACACGCAAGAAATTTGAGGGTATGAATCCATCTCCAAATCTCCCTCTTCATTTTGTGTCAATGTAGTGAAAACGCTACGAGTAAAAATAGGGTAAAAAAATCAACTACCATAACAGTATGTGAACGTTTTCTCATTCTATTTAAAAATCACTATAGGGGAGGAAGAAAAAAAAGTAATAGTTACAAAAAGAATCAAATCAGAGGAACGCGAATTTGCCAAACTTGAATGTCACAATCCAGACCACCACTGTAAACCAGATAAGAACTAGTATTATCATCATCAGGACCACCATTATTAGAGTCAACAACCATAGCCAAACACTTCACAGGTCGTGTATGACCTTCTAACACCGCCAAGCACGAATAACTCTTCTCAACCCTTCTCCTCCATATCCTAACACTGTTATCAGCCGATCCACTACACACCAAATCAGTCACCACCACCAAACACAATATAGCCTTTGTGTGCCCTCTCAAAGCCCCCACCAACACCATATTATTATTATTATTATTATCATCATCATTCTCCCACACCAAAATTGACCTGTCACACGCACCCGAATACAACACTGACCCATCTGAGTTAAGAGCCAACGCATTCACAGCAGATTTATGCTTCTCCAATGTTCCCACAAGTGAATGCTTTTTCTCACCCTCATTCTTCTTCCACATCTTTATCTTTTTATCTGCGGAACCCGTGTAAACGACCCCATCACTGGACAAAACCAAGGCATTGATGGCATCCTCGTGTGCATTCCTCACAGACTCCAAACACTTGAAATCCGACGTTCGCCAGATTTTTAATGTTCTGTCCCACGAAGCAGAGTAAAGAAGAAATCCATCTTTGGACAAAGCAAGAGCAGAGACAGTGTCCACGTGATGCACCCACGTGCACTTCTTGTGCCGTCGAACCTCAACGTAGTTCTTGGAAGAAAACATCTTTGAAAAACGGTCATTGAACGTGGGAAGGGTAGCTATGCATTTGTACCTATGGTTTGGATCGCTGGTTTCGATTTTCCAAACCCGAATTTTGTGGTCTTGGTGAGCACTGAATAGCGTGTCGTTGGAAACTAAGAGTGACTTGATGGCTCCTTTGCTGGTTGCTACAACGTTGGTGGTGTTGTTTGAGGTTTGGAGAGCAAAAGGGTCTCTAAAACATGTTCTTATTTCGCTGCTGGAAGAGGCACTATAGAGGAACTTGCCGTGGAGAGAAAGGGAGAAGACGGGTGAGGTGTGGCCTTTGATGGTAGTGATGAGTTTATGGTGTGTGGGTTGGTGTTGTTGAGGATGATGAGAGGGTGGGGTGAGAGAGGGAACTGAAGGAAGACTTGGTTGTGAAGAGAGGGAGGATGAGGTTGATGATTCTGAATGAAGGTGGTGGGAGGTTTGAGGTTGTGGATTTTGGTGCTGTGAGTGGCAACAGGGACAATGAAGAAGTCCCATTGAGGTTGGGTTTGTGTTGGCTTTTCGACTCTTTTGTTTTGAATGTTATGCGGGAGATTTGAGGAGTGACGGGCTTTATAGAGACATGCTCGTGTTAGCAATTTGCAATTAGGCAAGGCCAAGATGTCAGCAGTTGACACCTTTATATTGTCCTTCCCTGCGTAATCTTATGAGTAATTTAATCCATGTTTGGGTCCAACTTTTTCTTTAGAAGAGTATTTTTTTAAAAGAAACTTCTTTTGAAAAATTTGAACGAGAAGTTCTTTTCACATTGTATACACTACTATCCATTACCCATAGATTTATAGACAATTTTTTTAGTTTTCTTATTTTATTAAATTTTTTGAAAAATTCGTTTGTAATAGTCGTTTATAGTTGGTCTGCCATTTGGCGCGAAATATTATAGATAGGAATTACAAACAAATTTTTCTGTTTGTAATTTAAAAATAAGAGAAAAATTTGGAGTAGAAGCTACATATGAAAAATTCTATTTGTAAATATTGCCGTTTTTACCAACTTTTCAACTAGCAATTTACAGATGGATTTTTCCGTCCCTATCTGTATTTGACGAATTTATAGACGGATAAATTCGTCTGTAATTGAACTTTTAAAACACACTGTTTCATTAAACTATTTATAGACAGATTTTTCCTTTTGTAATGTACGAAACACATAAATCCACACCTCCTCCTTTTTCTTTCTCATTTTGCATAATTTTCTCTCTCTAGGTACTTCAATTTTTTGGTCTTTGCGAGTGATTGGAGCATCCATTTGAAAGATAATTTGCTTTATTGTGTTCCTGGTACGAAACTATAACTTTTAATCGGTTTAGTTTTTTTATTTTTTGATCTATTTTAGAGACTTAAAATTTCTAATATAGAATTATAGAATTGAAGATTGTATGACTGGGGGAAGGGCGTAGAGGTCCTTCTCTAAACCTTATTATTGTGTGTTGTGAGATTGTTTGTGTTTGTAGAGTTTGTAAAATATGCATGTTGTGGAGTTATAAGGGGATGTGCTCTAAAACGGTTTAGGATTGTAATGTGTATGTTTTTTATGCATTGATTAATAGATTGTTACATAATATATAGATTATGTCTAAAGGAAATTTAAGATTTTTATATTAAGTACGTGTAAACAAATGTAAGAAAATATTCATATATTAAGAGATATTCTGCCAAAATTTACATTAGAAATTTGTTGTATTAAGTGTAAACAGATGTTAGGAAATATTCATATATTATGAGAGATTCTACCAAAATTTATATTAGAAATTTGTTGTATTAAGTGTAAACAGATGTTAAGAAATATTCATATATTAGGGGAGATTTTGTCTAAATTTACATTAGAAATTTGTTGTATTAAGTGTAAATAAATATAAGCAAATATTCATATATTAGGAAATATTCATATACAAGAAAAGTGCATAGAAGAAGAAGTGGACGAAGAAAATGGAAAAGAAGGTGGAATCGAAGATGCAAAGAGAGGTGCAACAACAAATGCAGCAGATGCATGCATACTTTGAGGTCATGAGAGCAAGCACCTCTACACCTCTTCCTCCTCCTCCACCAACTCCAACACCATCAATCTTCAGCTCCATACGTCATTCCTCTTCTGACTCCTCCTCTAGTACTAACGGCAATACTTTTTCAGAAAATGATCATACCGATTATTAGTCATATACAATATTGTTTTATTTTTTATATTATTTTTTTAGATGTTTACTTCTTTATTTGTAATGACATTTTAATTTTACATTTTATAAATAATTTCTGATTTAAATATATAATTTTTTAGTTTTATTATGTTTATAAATTGTGATAATTAGGAACAACGAGGAATAATTATGTTTATAAAAAAATAAAATAATTTTTTTGAAATTTCATAAATGAATTACAGACGAATTTTTTCATCTATAAATTATAGACAGATTTTTCTGCCTGTAAATTATCTGTCTGTAATTATTTACCGACGCGCATATTACAGATAGACTATAACTGTTTATAAATCTATCTGTAATGCTAAAATTTGTCTGTAATAATAAAAAAAATTGTCTGTAAATTTATCTATATTTGCAGATTTTCTAATAGTGATATATATATATATATATATATATATATATAAAACTTTTTTCTATCTGTTCTTTTGAGCAGTTTTTAACGGTGGAATTATTTACTTTCCTCTCTTCTCATCGTCGACACAAACACGCAGAAACAAATGTAACATGCAAGTATGACCTGCATTTTTATTTAAGAAAACATTATTATTACATGCAAGTTATAATAAAATTATTCTAACATTTCAATTACATGTTATGTGAAATGGTGGTAAAGTCACTTACTTGTTATAAATATTATGAATTATATCGTAAACGACTATGAATTACGAACTTTTTATGAATGAAAAATTAAGATCTTCCGTTACCTAATCAAACTCTTCTAATCCTAAATTTTCAATGGGATAAATCTAAAAAATAGTAAAATGTATTTATGTAACAACAAAGAGGACTTAGTCACTATATCTATTAATCTTAAGTAATTTCCATATAAACTTAAAAGTTAAGCCCACACTATATCTCAAATATATTAGTATTAAGTATTCAAAGTCTATGAGTAATTAATCATATTATTAATAGATTTAAGTATCATCAAATGAATCATAATATTAACCTATTTTTAACAAAATAAAAATAATCACAATTAATTATAACTCATAATAAATTTTATAAAAAATTCTAACATTATTTACTTTTTTTTCTTTTCTCATCGTTGAGACAAACATACAAAAAAAATAAAAATAAAAATTGTAACATGCAAGTATTACCTGCATTTTTATTTAAGGAAACGTTGTTTTTACATGCAAGTTGCAATAAAATCATTCTAACATTTCAATTACATGTCTTGTCATAGGATTTCCCATCAAATCTTCAACGTAGGTGCGTAGATAGTGTTTAATACAAAGTATTTAAAAACTCTATTGGATTATTTAAGGGATAAAGAGTTGTCGACACTATTTTCAATTATACTTACTACATATACTAAGTTGAATATTTGGATTAAAAGTATTTAATGGGACGTTTAATTCAAAGGAAAGAGAGAGAGAGAGGCAGATAAAGATAGAGAGATATTTTACTCAAATATGCTCTTAATTAAAACTTTGAATCGAGTCGTTATTATTTTTCTTGTATTTGGATTTTAGTCTTCGCCCAGCCAATAAGAAACATGTGTCCAAGTGGCTATTTAGATTCCTTGACCTTGAAACAAAATACGAAAGAAAGTCATGTCAAATTGGGGGAAAATGATTTACACTAATTAGGTCAAAAGGAGAGTAGCATGACAAAGTGGAGAGAGTATATGAACTATGAACAAAAGGGGGTATCCCTATTCCCTTTCCCTATGTGAATTTGATATAGAATTTGGGGGAGTGGACCCATGCCAGTTCTTCCATATTGAAGGCCCCAGAAGCTGCAAGTTGTGAAAAGCTTTCCAGCACACAAGATTGATTACAAGGTACTGTGTAGCTTTGCGGTGCCACTAGCTGGTTTTGCTGAGATCAAGCAAGATTATTCCACGCAAAAGGGTACAATGCAAGTTGGGAAATTTCCTCTTATTTTCTTGGTTGTTTCGAGTTTAAGGTGACGTGGAATATGGCTGTTTCTAAAACCAATCATATCCGATTGATATAAAGGCTGTCTGATGCATCATGATTTGTTTTATATATATATATATATTGGTTAGCTTGCTATTAATGGACATATGCGCTGTCTCCTGACGCGTATTATATATATATATATATATAGAGGCTCCACCAATTGCCCCAACCCAATTTGGATTTGTTATCTCGAACACATGAATCGTGGATTATTCTAAATTAATTTTAAATATTTAAAGATAATAATTTTTATTAAAAAATATATTTTTTATTTTTAATATAATAAATATTTCCTTTAAAAATTATACTTTTTATTTTTTATCGTCAGATTTAAAGGTTGATATTAGTATTTTTCTTATATATAGATTATACTAATTTATTGATTTCCCTTTTTGGAAATAACATGTGGAATTTCTTTCGTTGTCTGTAAAGAGTTTTAATTAATAACAAATTGAAGTTTCTTATTTGGGGTAATTGCTAGGAAATTTGCGAGACACTTCGGGTACCGGGAAGGAGCAAGCACGTGACATGATGAGGTACGCTGGTCTTTCGCTTTTGAGCTTTTGAACGACACGCAGATCAGACTATTAAATATATATTTTGTTAATCACTGCCTTTAAAATACTGTTTAAGAAATAAATAAATAATAATTTTTTTAAAGTATATTAAGATACATTAAAAATTATATGATTATTTTTGTAATTTTTAATTATTTTTTTATTTTTTTAATTAATACTCTTAGAACATTAGTTAGCATTTTTCATCAAATGTAGATAATTACAAGTTTGTGTAAAACCAGTGTTTTGTTGATTGGAGGTATAAAAATGAACTAAAAATTTGTACCCATGCTGCTAATCAAACTGAGATGCCAAGTTAAAAATAATTTGTTAAAATCAAACACGAATAGTATGGATAAAGAACAAACAGGGCTTAATTACATTTATATAAAGAGTTCGAGTGTTTGATCTTGTGCATTCTAGTTTTTTTAATTATTTCCTATTTTATTTAATTTTATTCTAATTGTTTGAAAATAACAATATATAAATGTATGTATAATATGAAATTGATATTTTTAAAATATTATTTTAGTTTTTATAAAATATCAGACAGTCTCTGATAGGTTAAAATCCAATACCTTAATTTAATAACGATTTTAATGTACTAATTACGAACCATTCATGTTAATAATATGAAAATTTTCTTAAACTAATAATATTTTGACGGCATGAAAATTTAATTTTAGCGTGATGAAATTAATTGAAAACTGAACTCTACTCCATTATTGAACTCCGAAATTGTATATATATACTAATTACCATGATGGTTCCTCAAAAGAGGTATGCTTGACAAAAAGATGGGTTAATTCTGTCGTCTCTTGCCACTTGTTCCCACTGCTCAGTTCTTCCAGACAGCCAAACGTCGCCGCCCTAGTGGGTACTTTTTTATTAGAAAATATATTTACCACATTTTCGTTATTTTAATGTAATAAATATATAATTTTTTAAATCACAGTTTACTATTTTTTAATTTTTAAAATGAACTTTAAAAATAAAAATTAAAAACTCTCTTAATTGTACACTGATGACTGTTATTGATGTATATCACCTTCTAATTACGTTTTAAAAATTAACTGTTTTTCTTAAAATTCTTTTTCTAAAACAGCCATTAACTTGTTAAATATAAAATCCATCAGTTGGATCGAACCCTTCACCCTCTTCAAAGCTGGTGTGCTAGAAGCATTGTCGCTTTCTGAGGAAAAAGAAAAATACTAAAAGAACATTAATTAAAAATTTTTAAAAAACTTTTTTAAAAAATATAATAAATATATCTCTTTTTACAAACTTCATATTTTTTTCCCGTCCAATGCCTTTTTTTTTTTTCTAAAAAATGTTTGTTTATGTTTTTTATTCTCTTCATTAGATTTTAAATTCTATTCGCATATAAAGATCATAAACTCTCGCGAATGTTAAAGGAGAATTTTGCATGTCTAATTAAATTGGCGTATTTTATGAGCGAATATTCAGGTACATTAACAAAATTAAGACATTATTTTTAGAATTATTATTAATTTTTACTTAACATTTTATGAATAAAATTTATTCATACATGTCAAATAATATAGTAGATGATTAAAGTTAGAAATATAATCACTATCATATTTTTTTTAACGCGTTTTTAAATTTTAGTTAAAATTGATTAAAATTATAAAAAGTATGAAACTAATCATTATATATATATATATATATATAAACGGAGACATAATCTTCAATTAATTTTATCTCATAATTAAGTATTTTAAAAAAAAGTATATTATAAGCTAAGGAAACCCTTCTCCAAGGCCCCACTGAAGTCCACTTGCACCCTGGAGCATGGAATTGGTCATTCACTACCCTTAACTTGCTTATCTATATATTGTACCTCAACTCTTGTACTTAGTCACACAAAATTTCTTGGAGAGCATGAAATACCCATTGGCCATTAACATGAAACTCCACCTTTCAGCTTTGCTATTATTCCTTCTCCTTGTCGATAAATCCTACTTTGCAGTTTCTATCTCTCCCAAAGTCTATGAATATTTAAACCACGTAGGGAAGGAAGTGGCTACGAACCTTTGGGAAGAAGGCATGAAAGGCAAGGAAAGCACTATCGTAAAGTGGTTCTCTCCCCCACAACCAAACCTACCCCGGATACAAAAAAAAGGCTTCTATCGTTTCAAAGCATACCTCTCTAATTTCAGCTACCTTCAATCCTCTGGACCATTCAACGATTATATCGACCAGGAAACAATATCAGCCTTTAAAACTTATCAGGGATATTTCAATCTCCAAATCACAGGACTACCAAACAAGCAGACTATTCAGCAAATGTTGCTACCACGATGCGCTGTCCCCGACATTAATTTCAATTACTCCTTCGCCGCCGATGGCCTTTCATGGCCAAAAGCTGGGAACACTTGGTTTCCAAAGGGTAAGAGAAACCTCACCTACGGTTTTCCTTCTCCAGACAAATTCCCAGCCAACATGACCAAGGTGTTCAGAGATGCATTCACGCGCTGGGCAAAGGCCACGACAGTGTTGAACTTCACGGAGACAACCTACGATAACGCCGACATCAAGGTTGGGTTATATGCTTTCAATGACAAAATTGAAGGCATGGTGTACGGGGATAGTATTATTATAAGATCGAAACCTTCTTCTGATGTTATGACAGGGGAGATACGTCTCGATGGTAACCAGAGCTGGGCGTTGCCGAGTGAATATAAGAACATTTCATGGAAGAATGATATTCTGGATTTGGAGAGTGTGGCGATGCACCAGATTGGACATTTACTTGGACTTGACCATTCTTCTGAGAAGGATTCGGTGATGTACCCTTCTATATTGCCATCTAAGCAAAGGAAGGTGGAGCTCTCGGAAAATGATAAGGAGAACATTCTGCAACGTTATACTAGCGCCAACTCTGATAGACATAGCGCCAACTCTGATAGCCATAGCGCCAACTCTGCTAGACATGGTAGCCTCTGGGGACTCCTAAGTATAGCTTTGTCTCTTGCTTACATGATTTTCTTGTATTAGCTCTCCACGTCTCGTAGTCCTATAGTCCTACGTGTTGTTCTACATTGACCGTGGATTTCAACTTGTCACTCGTGCAGATTACTTTTGTATCGATCAATAATTAAAGTATTTAATAAAAATTATATAATTTGTTATTATAGAACTTGATTAATTTTTAAAGGTCTAGTGAAAAGAAAATGAATTTATTTAGTCTGTTAAGATCAAATTAAGAGAGAAGTTAATTTGCAAGCAGTGAGAAGCTAAAAGAAAAGGTAGAACAAGTTAAAAGGTCATAGCTCCAGCTGGACAATAGGAATGGTGGTTTTGAGGTGAGCGAGTCACCTCGGAAGAGCAAGATTCTTAACTGCCAAAACCAATATTAGAACGAGTTCAAACCATAACCAAGCAAATCTTGCAAGAAGCTGAAGCAAATCGCTTTCTCGACTTCATGATAATCTCGTCCTTGTCGGTCCAGTCTCGCTTCTTACCTGAAGGGACCGATTAATTAAGTACGAAGTCTCAAAGAGTTGTGCTGTTCAGTACGAAGAAAAGAATAATTAACAGTACAAATTTTGCATGAATACACACGTAAATACTTTTTATTGCTTATGAGAAAGTTGAAAGAAAAAAAGTCATGTATTTGACCGGAAATCACAGGAGATGATTCCTACATGCATTCGTGCAATTCTCTTTTACCAAACAGTATTATTTTTTCTTTAAAATAGATTAATTCAATTATATAGTTACTGATATTTTTTAACAAAATTTTGATAATTATAAAACTTTAGTTTTCGTACTAATTAAAATTCATATTAATTATGGCGACAAACGCAAGAGTACACATCCATGGATCCACTTGACAAGGAATCAAACAACGCAAGTACAGTCCAGTGAGGCGTGCTTGACGAAAAAGGTCTTAATTTGTCGTCTATTGCCACTTGCTCCGACTGTTCTCTTCCCCAAAACGGATTAGGGATTTTCTTTTTCGCAGCCAATCGCGTGGCTCATAAACTGCGCGTCGTTTTGCTCTTTTAATTTTGCGATGCAGTTACTTGTCGCCGCCGCCATATATAGTTAGTCGTTATTAATAGTTTAAAAATGTTAATTTTAATATTTTTAGTATTTTTTACTGTAAAATATATTTATCACATTTTCATAATTTTAATATATAAATATATATTTTTAAATAAAATATTACTATTTTTGAATTTTTTAAACATAACTTCAAATATTAAAATTAAAAAAAAATCTCTTTTTATTTAGGGACGTGTTTGAATGCACTTAGTAAATGACATGGCTCGTGCATATATGCCCAAGCTCTAGACATTGGATCCTACTGTAACATAACCAATAGAAAACCGTTGAAACCGAAACAGTAATTGGTGTGGGCGCCACATCGTTGCGTTAAGATATGGTGACGTGCAACCTCGTCCAGCTGGCGAGTGACTTGGATATTAAAAAATTTCTGATAGTTTTTAATGGAAATCAGTGAAAGGCATTGGGTTATGGTAGAGGCCGAACCGATACAAGTAGCGTTTCGTCGAAGCCTAACCTTTGATTCTAAATGTTGGGTTTCAGGCAGAGCCGTTTAGTTTCATTTTATTGTAAACTGGGCCGATGCAAACCAAGCATTGGGATAACTTAGATTGGACTTTTGAACTTCGATCTTTATTAATCAAACATCTTTACACAAATAATAATAATAATAATAATAGAGTTTTGTTAACTTTAATCTTTAAGACTAAATTTAAATATTTGTAAATAAAAAAATTTATACAAAAATTATAATTATTATATTAAAATTATAAAAATATAATAAATATATCCTTTTTCATATAATTATTAGTTATTTATTTTCAACTCTAAAGATTAAAATTAATAATAAAAAAATTATTAAAATATTTCTTATAAGATTGATTAAAAAAATAAAAATTATAATGTACACGATAATTGAAATAACTGAAAAAATATTTTATACTAATTAAAAATATTGGTAAAATATTGTAATAAGGTTTAGGCTATAGTTTTTTCTTGAACTAGTTTTTGAGATTTAGTTATGTCTAATTTATTTTTAATATAATATTTGAGTCTATTAAGTTTTATCTTTAAGACTATCTATAAATGTTTAGTAAAGATCATGAGAGAGGTATATTATGTTATTTCTTACATTAAGTAAAAATATGTTTAAAATACTCTTAACAAAACTTGGACAATCTAAAAAGGAGAATGAAAGTTTAACCAAAGAGTGCTAAAGTCAATGCAGTACTGTGCAACATATGCTTCCATGCTACTCACCCCAGCGGACAAAATGATTTACACCGCTGATATGCCTATAGCATTGGATACTTATTTATCATTTTACTTCTTCCACAACAGAATATCAAAATCTAAAACTTTCTCCTCCAAATAGTGATCCACCTTAGGTTGTAGCCATTTTTCTATATAATAGGGAGCTATTACTGGATTCTTTATTAAATTCTAACAAATAATCAAAATCCTAATCATAATACAATTGTCAAATCTACTCAACTTCATACTCTTTGGATAATGACATTCAGGCTTATATAGAATCCAAAATATTAGCAACTCTATCCATCATGAAACACCATATCCAATAACTTTAAAATTTGTTGAACATATCTTTTACTACTATCCTTTTTTTAAGAGAGCTGAGCTGTTGAGACATTGCTAACTTGATCTTACAAATCATGGGTAAATAATCACTGTCAATTGGATATTTGGTTATCGATAATTAATTTTTAAAACAATTCTAGTATCCCATAAATATCCTTTGCAAACTCTAGTTGGACTATCTTGACTCAGATTTTGAACGTACATCAGACTATTAAATATAGATTTTGTTAATCACTGTCGTTTTTTTTTAAGTTAATCACTGCCTTTAAAATACTGCTCAAGAAATAAATAAATAATAATTTTCTTAAAGTATATTAAAATAAATTTAAAATTATATGAGTATCTTTTAAATTTTTAATATTTTTTATTTTTTAACTAATACTCTTAGAATATTAGTTAGCGTTTTTCATCAAACGTAGATAATTACATGTTTGCGTAAAACCAGTATTTTGTTGATTGTAGGTATAAAAATGAACTAAAATACCATTGCTGCTAATCATTTGATATGACAAGTAAAAATAATTTGTTAAAATCAAACACGAATAGTATGGATAAAGAACAAACAGGGCTTAATTACATTTATATAAAGAGTTTGAGTGTTTGATCTTGTCCATTCTAGTTTTTTTAATTATTTCCTATTTTATTTAATTTTATTCTAATTGTTTGAAAATAACAATATATAAATATATGTATAATATGAAATTGATATTTTTAAAATATTGTTTTAGTTTTTATAAAATATCAGACAGTCTCTAATATAGGTTAAAATCCAAAACCTTAATTTAATAACGATTTTAATGTACTAATTACGAACCATTCATGTTAATAACATGAAAATTTTCTTAAACCAATAATATTTTGACGGTATGAAAAGTTAATTTTAGCTTGATGAAATTAATTGAAAGCTTAACTCTAATCCATTGTTGAACTCCGAAGGTATATATATATATCACATACTAATTACCATGATGGTTCCTCAAAAGACGTACGCTTGACAAAAAGATGGGTTAATTCTTGCCACTTGTTCCCACTGCTCTATTCTTCCCGACAGCCAAACGCCGCCGCCCTAGTGGGTACTTTTTTATAAATCACAGTTTACTATTTTGTAATTTTTAAACTTAACTTTAAAAATAAAAATTAAAAACTCTTTTGATTGTAAACTGATGACTGTTAATGATGTATTGCCTTCTAATTATGTATAAAAAAATAAAGTAATTAACTGTCTTTCTGAAACAAAGTTATAATTATATTTATACATAAGATGGTTTTGTTTGTAAAAGCTCTGAAAACTATTTTTATACTTTTTTAAAATTAATTTTTTTTAAAACAGCTATTAAATTGTTATGATCTAGTTTCTATAAATTTTTTAAAAAGTTTTTATGAGAAAAATATTAGTATAAAAATGAATAGCTCTTATAAATTAGAAACAACTTATATTCTTAAATTTTATAAAATTTAAATGAAATAATTTTAAAAATTGAAAAATAAAAATTATTTCTAATTTGTGAAGGAAGTTATAGTTTTTTTATATTATATTTTTTTATATAAAAGATTTTTTAAAAATTTATCTAAATTAATACACATATATATATATATATATATATATATATATATATATATGTGTGTGTGTGTGTGTGTGTGAAGAGTCGGTGTCGTATGCAAATGGGATAAGTTGAAAATTGCTAAATATAATTAAGAACGAATTAAATAAAAATTTATTAAATTAAAAACTAAAAAAAAATATTTTATATTACAGTACAGTTCAAATTTTAGATTTCATGCTTTAACTGAATCAAAAAATATATTATAATAAATTTATATATTTTTATTGTATGCTTATATAAAAGTTATTTTTATTTAATTTATCATAATATTCTATGAATATATCGTGCATCACTTTTATTTATTTTAGAACTCATTTTTTTCTCAAATTAATAAAATGATATAAACTTTAGAAAATATTTATGTAAGACAAAAGATAACGAGCCATAAAATACTTTTATAAAATAATAATAGTTAATATTATTTTAAATTTTTATATGAACTTATTAGCCAAAAAGTAATTTAATGTACGTTTGTGCAAGTCTTTATAAACATGAATTTGAGCAAATTGAATTTTATAAAATATTTTTAATTAATAACTAGTGGAATTTCTTTTGTTGCCTGGAGAGAGTTTTAATTAACAAATTGAAGTTTCTTATTTGGGCTAGTTGCTAGGAAATTTGCGACCCACTTCGGCTACCGTGAAGGAGCAAGCACTTGACACGAGCTTTTTTTTTTTTTTTTCATCCAATTTAACCTGTATTTGACTCGTGTTGCATTTTCTGATGGGTAAACGAGTTTATTATTAAAAATTTTATATACTTAAAAATTTAAATTTAAAATTTTACTTAAACAATATCAAACTATTTATCATAACTAATTTTGTTAGTACAATTTAAGTTTTTTTATCGACATGTACATCAAATTATTAAATATATATTTTGTTAATTACTGTTGTTTTTTTTAAGTTAATCATTGCCTTTAAAATACTGTTTAAGAAATAAATAAACAATAATTTTCTTCAAGTATATTAACATACA